GTGCCTGTTGATCTTTGTAGCCTCTGATGTTCCAGGTTCCCTCTATGTTTGGATGTGCCCATGGGTGGTGGGGTGTGTTAGTAGTGTTGTAGGTCTCCCTGCAGCTGGACCTGTGGTTGAGCCAGTCACTGGTTTTGTCTATTTTCTGAGGGCTGCGAGCCTTGCAAGGCAGTGCCTTACTGGCTCACACATCTTCGGGCCACTTCTGTCCAATAACACCTTGCATCCTAGCTTCTGCTGTGGGGGTTGGGGATACAGGGGTACAGGGAGTGACAGAAGGGCTGCAAGCTTCCCAGCTGTGCAGGCTGCCAGTCCTCTCTCAATGTCTCCAAGGCTCTTTGTGCTCACACTGAGCAGTCTCTCTCTGAGCAGTCTTTCCCCACTGCTTGGGGTCCATTCACAGAGCAGAGTTGTCTTTGTTTAACTCCAGGGCTTTACCACATGTTTTGTGGGTAGATGCAGTAATCAAGTAGAGCGGTAGATAGTTTCCTGTCTGAGGCACTTCCTAGGGCCTTTCTATGCTAGGATGTGCCCATTTAGGGTTGGGGGAGTGTTAAAAGTGTTGCAGCTCCCCAAGGTTGTACCTGTTTTTAATTCAGTCTAACCGGTTCTTTTTTTTTTTTCTCCCCCTTTTACATTGTGGCTTTGTGAACTTGCTGACCCTGCCTTAGTGACTAATGGCAGCAACAAGCCTCCAGGCCTATCCTGTGGTGGCAGGGGAAAGATTTGCAAGCCTTGCAGCTGTCCCAGTCGCCAGTTCCTCCTCCCCACCTCTCAGGCTCTACGTGCCATTCCAAGCAGTCTTTCCCCACAGCTTGAGTTCCACTCACCCATCTGAAGCACTTCCTAGTGCCTAGGTGTCTGGGTGCTCCCTGCTTCCCAATCAGAGCTGCAGTCTTTCCCAGCAGCTTGGGTTTGGCTCATGGAGCCTCCAGTCTGAGTAACTTCCTTGCGCCTGGGTGCTTTCGGATCAGAGCTCCCCTATCACAGCTCCCCAATCGCTGATTCTCCCTCAGTTATCTTTCTTCTAGTGAGTCCAGGGTGTTCTCATTTGGGTTGAAACTCATAGTATATAAGTCTACAGTCCAGTTTTACTTGGCATTTTCACTCTGCCTTCATCTTGCTGGATCTCCTGTGTTTTTTTTGTTTTTTTTTGTTTTTGTTTTTTTTTTTAAAGCTTGGGAGAGGACCATTATTAAGCACATCTGTACAAAACCAAGGGTCTGATACTTTACTTCTGCATCATAAGTCAAATCCATATAGTTTTTAAAAAACAGTCAATTCAAACAATAGTCTTAACAAGGTCTTAGATCACATGGACTTAAGAGACATATAAGTCTCCTAAAAACTGCATACACATTCTACTCAAGTGTATATAGAACATTCTTCAAAACAGACCACATGTTGGTTCACCAAAAAGATCACTACATTCATGAAGATTGAAATCATATCAAATATATTATTTTATCACAACAGTATCAAAGTAGAAATCAGCCACAAAGAGAAAGCTGGACAAAACCTCTAAAATACAAAGATTAAGCAACATACTATGGAATCACCACTGGGTAAACAAGGAAATCAAAATTAAGGAATGCCTGGAGATGAACAAAGTCACAACATATCAAAATCTATGGAAAGCAGCAACAGGGTAATATATAGTGGGAAATATATAACAATACAGGCCCACATCAAGACCAAGAAAAAGCTCAAAGTGAAAAACTGTACATCTCACTTCAAGATACTAAAAAAAGAACAAACAAAGCCAGAAATATTTTACTTTTTTGATGCTATTGTAAATGGAATTGTTTCTTAATTTGGGGGTTGTTCATTATAATATATAGAAATGCAACTGATTGTTATGTGTTGATTTTTTTTCTTTATCTTGCTACTTTGCCAAATTTGTTTAATACTTCTAACTGGTATATTGTGTGTGTTTGTGTGTTTGCATGCTAAGATTTTCTACATGTAAGATTATATCATTTCAGACAAATAACATGACATCATTTTTTCTAATTTGAACGTCATTTACTTCTTGCCAAATAGTACTATAGCTTTCTATTGAAGAAATGATGAAGATTTATTGAGTGTGTGGGAAGTGAGAAATTTTTGAGACATATTTTGAATATTTGAGACATTTTGCAGATAAAATACATGGCATTGGCATTTAGTTCTCCTAAATGGTTATTGTTTCTAAGACAATGTGATAGCAATGGGAGAAAGGGAGAAGCTAAGGATGTCATCTCAGCTTACACTGGCTTACAAATGGTGTACTGGCTGAATAATCGTGGTGCCATTTCATTAAATGGAGTAAAGGGAGAGTAGTTTGGCAGAGAAAGATAAAAGCTCTCTTTGACTGTATTAAAGTTGATCATGGGTATGGAAAAGGTAGTTAAAAACAAGAGAAGAGGTAAGAAAACCTTTTGGGGAAAGTCTGCATTGAGAAAAGGGGTGGAAGAAGAGGCACACAGAAATAGTCAACAATGGAAAAATTCAAGGGATAGAAAAAGAAACAGGAGAATCGGATGAATAAGGAGACATTTTCAAGAAAAACTAGGCACACGTGGGGAAGGAAGATGAAACTTGAGGAGGGAAATCTTTAAAAGATCAATGGGAGTTCATGAGTGACTTTCAGTTGAGCACTTTTGGCCAGAGAGGGAGGCCTCCCTGCTTGAGTACAAGAAAGTTGAAAAGTGAATCAGTATGGGAAATGTTCCAAAAATGCTAACGTGCTGGACATATTTGATAATGTTGATGTTACTGTTGTCATGGAAACAATAACCATTTAGGAGAACTGAAAGCCTTTTAAAATCTCAGCCTTTAGCCCTTTGATATACTTTTGAAATATGCTAATTAATTACAGGGGTGGGATTTATCCAAGTTTTGCCAGTTTAAAAGCCCTCCTTAACTGAAAATCCTCTTCATGAGGAGGAAGTCCACACCAAAATTTCTTATTATCTTGCTATTGGCTGACACAACTCGTAAAATATAATTTGCTGTTTCACTTTTCGTTTTAAGTGAGCAAGCTGCATTACTTGGAGAGGGCAGGCAGAAGAGATAAAGGAAACAGAAATCAAGGCTGCTGAAAGAAAGACATCTTCAGGTGAGCATTTTAATTTTTGCTTTGTTAATTCAGTGTTGAGAACTATGCCTTCCTTATCATTTCATAGTAAGAGCAATTTTTGAAAAGTAAATTTATTTTGTTCACTGGTACATAAAGATAAAAGATAGAAAGATAAAAGCAAAATGTATAAAAATTTTGATTTTTCTGTTTAGTGGTAAAATTTGTAATTTAAGTTTTTCAGCTTATATTATTTTCTTAAAAAAAAAAACCCACAGACATGCACTACTGTGTAATAAGAATGTAAAATGAATTAAATAGAATTGACTTTCTGGTTTACTCTTCTCTAGATTAAACGTTCCCAGTTGCTTTCATTTGGCCACAATTGGCAAGTTATTTAATTTTCTGAGCTTTATACATTATTCTCACAAATGTTATTATTAGGTCATGTCAACTGAAAATTTACCAAGTGTCAGGCATCAAGTTAATTAAGTTATTCCTGTTCTCTCCGTTAATGGTCACTTTAGTCCTTCCCTGCAGATGAGGGTTTTCAAGCTTAGAGAGAAGTAATAAGAGTCATCAAGAGGTAGAGCTGAGACTTGAATGTTGGTTCCTTCCAACTCAAAAACACTTGATTTTATTCATCATAATACCCTGACTCTCTATCTATAGGAGTCATAAGTTCCTGCATCATCTAAGCAACACCTGTTTGGGAAGTAAGATCATATCTTTGCAAAGTACTCATTGCAAAATCACCTTGGGAGTTTTAGAATCTTGTGTATACTCCAGATTTAGGGTCTCCTCTTGCTTTTCTAAGTCAGACATCTAAGGCATGCCAGTCTCCCAAGGCTAAGCTGAATAACCTAACAAGGGATTGTGTAACCAGCGATCTCTAGTTAAAGCAGCAGCCAAACTGAATAATACAGAGGCCACCATTTGGCCTGGGCTGCTCAGATTTTCGATAGAGTCGCCTTTAATCCATTTCAGAAAACCTTGACCCCAGCTCCACTCAGTACTTTAACTAAGCTTTTCTTGGGGGTTGGGGGGTTCCCTCCTTCTTTGTACTAGAGTTACTTTTGGGTTGGGTCTACACTTCTACTGGAGATGTCTGAGGATGAAGTCTTTGCATAAACCCAATACATGAGCTTCATTAAGGATAAATAGGAAAGTGTAAATAAATTCATCACTGACTGCTTGTTTCTGTTAAGCCTGTTTGCCTTACATATCTTTGACAATATTTAAAGGAAATGTTCTATTGGGCTGATGGCATGGTTTAGTCTGATCTTTGGTGAGAGGGAGTAAGGGGGTATAAGCAGTGGGCTGGAGCCAAATAATCCCAAACTTGGAAGAGTTTTCATTTCAGGTATGCACATTTCTGGCATTTCTGAAGAAAGGTTTCAAAGAAGCGGGGAAGCATAGTGAGAGAAAACAAGGAAGAAGGAAAAGAATGGAGCGACAGAAAGAGGAAGAGAAGGGTAGGAGAAGGAAGGGAGTGGAGCTTAACTGCTCAGGAAGTTAAACAATGTGTTAAACTGGAAGAATTTTATTTTATTTTTATTTTTTTAAAGATTTATTTATTCATACAGAACTGGGGTACAGGCCAGAGATACAGAGGGTGAGAGGATTCACCAGAGAAAGAGTGGGGAGCAGAACAGGCTGACTGACAAAGTACCCTGCTGAGGGGAGCAGTGGGCAGGTCAGGAGGGGTCTGTGGTGAGGTATGGATCTCCTCCGGGGAAGGCGGGGATCGAACTCATGCAGAAGTGGCTTAAGCCCCTTGTGCTGTGCTTTAATGTGCTGTGCTTTAACCCGCTGTGCCACCAGGGAGGGTCCAGAATTTTATTTTTTAAATATATATGTATCATTGTTCATTTTTGTACATTGTCCTCTCAAGCCCCCATAAAATTCCTACCACCAAGTCACCTAAGAACATCACCATAGTCCCTTGTGCTCTTCCCTGCCCTTAAAGGAAAAATTTAAAAGGATCCAGTTCACCATTGTTATTTCTATTCTACATTAGAAAGTGTACGTTATAAAAAATGAATTTTGTTCTCATGGGCAAAAAGTTTACTTTCCATGTAAGTGTTCCCCTAACAGGCAGTCAAGAGCATTTTACCTAGTTTGTACTTTTAGTACAGAAGTTCAACTGTCTAGAGTATTTGGAGGCATCTTAGATTCTTGAAAAGTAGTTGGTTTCTTTTTGGTTTGAGTCTTATCTTTTTTTTAATATTTATTTTTTTATGCATACAAGAACTGCGGTTCAGGCCAGAGGTACAGGGAATGAGAGAGGATTCACCAGAGACAGGCTGGGAACAGAACAGGCAGGTCTACTGTAATACGGTCAGGTGAAGTCTGCCACACCACGTGAGTCACCTTCCCCGCTGGGATGGAACTGGTGCTGCAGTGGCTATGGACAGCTTCATAGTGTTGTGCTTTAACCCTTGGCACCACCAGGGAGGGCCTGATTCTAATCTTAATCAAAACATTTTTTTTTTCTTGTAAGTTGTCTGAGGAATTTTAAGGTGGTTCCCTTGTTAGCTGTTGCAGAAACAGATCTCTTATTACTTCAGAGTCAAAAAGACAATTGTAAGCTTCAGAGATATAAACAGTGTTACTGCCTACAATATTTAAGGCAGAGCACCCGGCTATCCCTTTTACCCTTTTGGGGCCATCCCCTTCCTCTCCACACTGCTCCCCACCCCCAGATATATATATATATATATATATATATATATATATATATATATACACACACAAATACCACTTACCTTGCATCCCTGACCACAGATCTTTGATGTAATTTCAGAGACAGAAAGTTTTGAGGAAAAGTACACTAATGACATTTTGTTGCAAATGAACATTGGGAATGTGCCCTTCCTCCCCCACCCTTCCCTGCAGATATCATGAGACATAAAATGAGAAGACTGAGTAATAGCTGCATACTCATTCCCTTATTTGAGTAGATCACAGGCTAGGCTGGACCTGGGCATACAGACAAGTGAAACCCCATCTGTGCCTTCCCTGCCACAGCCTGAGGGCGAAATAGGGGAGCTGATTCTGCTCCGGGGTGGGTGGAAACCCAGGAAGTCTCTGGGCCTACAGGCAAATGTGGAGCAGCAGCTACCAAAATGGTGGTAGGGGAATGTGGGACCAGGGAGGGTGTCAGAAGAAGGCATTTGTGGAAGAAGTGATGTCTTTTAAGAAGCCTGTGGTCAGGTCAGTTATATATAACCAGATAATGAGCAGGAGCTCAGAGTGAGCAGCTGAGAGACCCCTGTGTATTCAAGGTATTGAAATATGTTCTGGGAGGCAGGAATGGCTTTTACTGAAGGGAAAAGGGCGGGGGGAAGATAGTGGGTGACAAGATCCATATTGTGAAGAATCTGAGTTGACATTTATTCTGAAGCAATGATAATGTTAGCAGAAGAGTAACGTTGGTGAGGTACATGATTTGGGAAGGCCACTCTGACTGCTAAGTGGGGAATGGATTTAGAGCAGCAAGAGTGGAAGCAGAAGCCAATCAGAGAACTGAGGTGTTGTCCAGGTGCCAGAAGACAGCCTGGGACAGTCCTGAACTGGTGTGAGGGAGGGAAAGTGGGGTTGGTAGAAGACTGGGTGGTAACTGACCTGCAGGCAACTCCTCA